TTTTAAATGATGATTTCTTTTATTAAGGGAAAAAAGCTGTCCAAACCTGCCTGGCCCTACGTGAAAAAGTAATTGCCCCCTAAAATAACTGGTTGTGCCACTCATTGCAGCAACATCTGCAATCAAGTGTTTGTGATAACTGGCAATGAGTCTTTCACATCGCGGTGGAGGTATTTTGGCCCACTCTCCTTTGCAGAATTGTTTTAATTCAGCCACATTGGAGGGTTTTCGAGCACGAATTGGCTGTTTAAGCATCTCAATCGGATTGAAGTCCGGACTTTTATTTGGCCACTCCAGAACCTTAATTTAGTTTTTCTTGAGCCATTCAGAGGTGGACTTGCTGGTGTGTTTGGGATCAAACTACATAACTGCTACATAACCTAAGTGCGCTTGAGCTTGAGGTCACAAACTGATGGCCGGACATTCTCCTTCAGGATTTTCTGATAGAGTGCAGAATTCATGGTTCCGTCAATTATGAAAAGTTGTCCAGGCCCTGAAGAGGCAAAGCAGCCCCAGATCATCACAACAGCCACCACCATGTTTACTGTTGGTATGATGTTCTTTTTCTGAAATGCGGTGTTGGTTTTACGCCAGATGTAACAGGACACACACCTTCCAAAAGTTCAACTTTTGTCTCATCAGTCCACAGAATATTTGCCCAAAAGTCTTGGGGATAATCAAGATATTTTTTGTGCTTTGTTTTAAATAAGCTTTATATGACAGGAAACTTTGAAACTATATATTTATATTACAAATATAGAGATGGGGTAAACTGTAATTCAACAAGACAGCTGGGTATAGATGTTATTCAACCAGTTACTTTTACAAACATTAACAAATCAATTACTTTTCAGTGCACACTCATAAGTCTCAATTTCTATTATTTTAACGGTTTGAAATCCCTTTAAAGCTTTATGAACCAAACACAGGCATTATGACGGATCTAAAAATGAAATTACGGGCTCCGGTGACTAACTAAAAGTGAAATATAAATGTATTCTCATTTTTAATTAAGTCTCTCAAAGCAAAAAGGAAGAAAGTATAAACACGGTGGATGTCCTGATAAAAAATAAAAAGTCTCCGATCAACTCAACTGTGCAGCTTCCATATTCAGCGGCAGCATATTAGTTATACTGCTTATAATTGAAGCTGTGAAAGCCGGAGAACATACCCTTCTTTCAAGAAGACAAAAGAACGACTTGTTTTTGGTGTCTGTGTAAAACACCCCAAAAAGCTTTTGAAAGGCTATGGATAAAATATTTGCAGGAAGCAGTGCATGTCGTTTTATTACCAAACAACAATGTAGGTACAATAGCTTTGAGCAGAAAGCTTTTAATGCTAACAGCTCTGTATGAATTATGAGAGCTGTATACTGTCCTATTTACACTACAACCACATATGCACCAGGGTGAGGACAAACACCCCCACAATCCTTTGCTTTTTCTGCTATTATCATGGGTGACATGTCTTTGTTTATAAGAGCAAATGCAAGGCAGAGCATTACTGAATCACACAGATCCCACGGGTGCATCGAGCAGTTCCTTTGCGATATACCACCCTATGACTTATTTATCAAAACCTCCATTTGTCTCATCGGAGACACACACTAATGAGTCTCAAATGAGCGGGAGAACGCAGCCGTAACACCAGTTTCATCATCCTTAAAACAAACTCCATTCATTATGCTTATGCACTGGGCGGCTGTATCTCAATTGGGTTGGATGAAAGTGACTACGGCAATGTTTGGGTTCCCAAGGTGGGTCAGCGGCTTTCATTCAATCTCTCTGGTCCATTTACGGGCAATCAGTGTTGGCACATTTTGAGCGTGTCTGCATGACAGCACATGCCGTGTAGGCTGGAAACAGAAAACAGCGAGATGTACACCCACTTCATTATTAATCCAAAAGCGATGCTGAACGCAGGACACATTTCAATATTCCGGCTCCGCACGACCTTTGGTACGGATCTGTGAAATGGTCGGGCACTTTTGGCACTAGCAAAGGGCAAAACCACTGTCCAGGTGTGACTAAATAAGCTACTGGCCGACTGCTGGGTTCACAAATAACAAATGCTGGAACAAATGTGTTAACGGCGCTATTTGTGTGTTTGTTTATATGTATGTTTGTTTATTTCTCCTTGTGGATTCCTCAAGTGTGGCTTACTGAAGTAATTTTCCGCCTGGTCAGATTTAATGTGTTCCTATGTTTATCCGCTGTCAGGCAAATGTTGATTTATATACATTTGATTTGCAAATGTGACTCATTATGCTCTGTGACTGCATGGTTTATCTTTCATGTCTCTGAGAGGATGTTTGGCTACTTTTTAAGGTAAGGTTGTTTGGAGACTGAACTTTAATAATGGCAGAGATAAAGTGATTCTGAAAGGGACTGAGGGAACTGTATTTGCGGAAACTGTATTTACGGACAAATATTAATTTTAAATTATATAACCCAGTATTCACACTAGAAAATTGATTAAAAAGCCTGCCTGTAACTCATTTAAAGAAAGTAAAATAAACAATTTATTATTATTATTAATAATAATAATAATCATGCATTTGTTTCTTTCTTTGTTCACGTTTCTAGATTAAATATTGTTACATATGATCTTAAATTAAGATTTATCTGCACATACAGTTCCACACAAATGATCACAAGAATAATTATTACTTTAAGAATAATTTATTTAAAGGTTTATAATAAAATAATCATATTATTACGTTTTAAAGTAGTATTTATTTCTATTATGTATTATTGTTGTTAGTATTAACATTTTATTTATTTATAGGTTTTTAAAGTCATACGCTTTTGAATCACTTTTCTAACATGAATATTGTTATACATAAATAAATTAATATCAATTAAGATTTATCTGCACATACTGTACAGTTCCTCACAAATACGACCACAAAAATAATTATCACTTTAAGAATGCATTATTTAAAGGATTATAATAAAATTATATTATTATTATTATTATGTTTTAACAAACTATTTATTTTTGTTTACTTAAGGATTTTTATTATTTTTATTTATTATTATTCTTTTATTTTTCGAAGAATTATTTATTTGTTTATTTAAGTATTATTATTATTACTATTATTAACCAGTCTAAAAGTAGACTGACAACATGTAGCACTGGTGTTAATGTTTAGGTTCGTACTCATCACCAGAATGCTCTTATGATTCCCAGAAATGTTGTCTAGGCAGGCACCTTCACTCGCTTTTGAGACTCCACTGCCAATAATAATGAAAAGCAATCTCCAAAATCTCACTTCAACCACTGGTTATTAACTGCCGCTACCTGAAGATACCAGATCTGAAACACACCTATCCTTCACTCCCTGCCTCAATTCCACACCTTCACCCACAAAACCCTGCCAATGTCTCACCCTCATCCTCCACCCAATCAACACAATAAATGGCCTCATGTCAGGTTATGACGTAATGCTCGTCCAAATGAATCATCTATAACATAATAATCTAGGCGTAATACTAACTGTCAAAGATGGACTATTTTCCAGCTGAAGGATTACACTTAACGAATTTACATTTACATTCATGTATTTATTCATGTAGCAGATGCTTTTAACCAGAGCGACTTAAAAAATACATTTGCTTAATAAAATAACATTTTTATGAAAAATTGTGTCCTTGATATTCGCATTATGCAGTAACCATTCTACAAAATCAATAAAGCTATCAAGGCCCTTACATATTATGAATATAATCAAGGATAAAGTGTTAAAGACATTTCGCTGCACATTGCACTAAACAACTATTCCATGCAAACATCAATATAAATATTAATTTGAACAATGAATCATAAAAACAGAAAAAGAAAATAACGTAAAAATGTCTTACTCCTTCAAGGCATCCTCAAAAGCTTCTATGAATAAACTCAATATAAAAACAGGTCTATGGCACATTTTAAGAATTTAAATGTATTTGAGTTAAAACAAATATGATAAAAAATAATGAGAACTACATAATAATAATAATAATTATTATTATTATTAACTTATTTCACTTGAAACATAATAATAATAATAATAAAAACCATGAGAATAAAATACTACTAATAATAATAAATATTATTATTATTTTAATTATTACTGTTATTTTTTAAAACAACAACAACAATATTATTATTATTATTACTAGTATAAATCAAGTGTACATAAGACATACAGAAACAAAAATGATGGTGTATGGCAGTGGCATCTGCCACTCAGGTGCAAGACGCAAACGTTTTGAGCCTAGATCAACTAATATTGAGGAATTAGATACTGCAGCACAGCAGGAAGGTGTTTGGGAGAGAACAGCAATAAGGCTGTGTGCAAAATGGTAAACATTTATGTACATTACACCCAAATGCCCCTCTCAGTGCAGAAAGCGCTGTTTAACAGCTGCAGAGCATGTGAACAGCCCCCTGGTCGACTCGAAACGGTTTGAGGTACAAATGCTCCCCTGAGACGACTTCGGCAGTCGAGAATGGGCATGTGGAGGATTGATGTGTGTGTGCGTCGGTAATCATAACCCACTGTACACACGTAATGTCGCCTCTTGCACTTCCAGCGCTCATACGAAAAGAAGGGGGAGATGTGATTGATATTGGTTTTTATGCAAATGTAGCATTTGTAAATGTACAACACGATACAATTTGCATAGTCATTCAGTCAGTGCCATTTATAAGTGCATTAATCCAGCGCCGCTCTCCTTAGAACAGCTGCTCACACAAAGCCAGCGCAAAAAAAAACAATGGGACATGACCGCCGATGTGTGCATATGCACCCCTGGATTTGTTGGTGATGGGTCGCAAACATGAAAAGCAATTTCCGGTTAAATGAAAAGAGAGTTGTGAGCAGAAAGTGATTTGCGTGTAATTGTATGTATTGTATTAGAAAGACTGACCTCTGACATGTTGACGCGGCCCTCCTGGAAGGAGCAGTCGTTGGCATTGTGGGTGCACATGTGTCGGTATTTGCACCAGTGGCATGGAAAGGAGCCATTCACACAGGAAAGACACCTATCAAGAAGAGACAGCCAGAGAAAAAGAGTATTATTCAGTTATTAATGGCTAAGTCACATATGGATGCATTCTATATCAAACCATGACATTTCCACATGACATATACTCACGTTCCTCTATTAGCATTTGGACTTTGGTGCTTTGCACAATTATATTATTAGCTTGTTCTCAGAGTACTTTAGTAACCACGTAGCAACCGCATAACAATACACTAAAACATACTCAGAACTCATTAGAACCCACCAAAGCCACAGCACACACCAGAATGCCCTAACAACCCCCTAGAATACCCCAACTACTGTATAGCAACACACTAAAAACTACTCAGTCAGAACACCTTAGCAATCGCATAACAATGTGCTAAAAAACACCTTAGCAACACCCTAGCATTTGTACAGCAACTCAGTAGCCACAAAGCCTTAACAACCCCCCAGAACACACTAGCAATTGCATATTGTAGCATACTAAAACACTCAGAACACCTTAGCAACACCCTAGCAACAACTCTGAACACAGGTAGCATTCGTATAGCAGCTCACTAACAACCACAAAGCCCTAGCAACCACCCAGAACACCCTAGCAACCTCACCGCAATGTGCAAAAAACACTAAGAACACCTTAGCAACACCCTAGCACCACCTTAGAACTCCCTAGCAACCACAATGTATCCAAAAACCCAGAACACCTAACACCCTAGCACCCACTCAAAACACCCTAGCAACCAAGTAATGTACTGAAACACCCGGAACACCTTAGTAACACCCACTCAGAACTCCCTAACAACCACATACTGTACTAAAAACAGAGAGAACACCTTTACTAACACCCTGGTATCCAAGAAGAAACACCCTAGCAACCACATAACAACGAGCTAAAACACTCTGAGCAGCTTAGCAACACCCTGGCATCCACCATGAACACACTAGCAATCCCATAACAATGAGCTAAAACACTAAGAACCCTTTAGTAACACACTAGCACCTAGTGTTAATTTCATCAGCTATTTTCAATTTAGTCTTAGTCCTGTGGTAAAATGTCCTTCTTAGTTTTTATCATATTTAGTCAACCTTATCCTATTTAGTTTTAGTCAAGTTTTAGTCGACTAAAAGTCTCAACATTTTAGTCAAAGAACACCTGAAGTATTTTAGTCTAGTTTTAGTCAATGAAAACTTGACATTTTAGCAATAAGATTTTTATGAATTAACCGTACAGCAGTATTCATTTTGGCAGCCATTTTTAATTTAGTATTAGTCTTAGTCAAATGCACATTTTAGTTATCATATTTAGACAACCTTGTCCTGTTTTTGTTTATTCAATTAAATGTATGAGCATTTTAGTCAGGTTTTAGTCAATGAAATCTTAGTCACATTTTCGTCATTCTGTATAATGGTTACACTGATAAAAAAATGTTTTTAAATTCTCAAAATTATAATCGCAATGTTTGATGCATTTCAGGTATTGCACTTTCACCAGTAAGCACAAATCAATAGAATGTGGACATAGGCTATGCATGGTGTATTTTACATCAAAATCCCTGGTAGCCCTTCGGGCAGGTACTTTTCAGATTTTGGTAGCCCGAAAATTAATTTAGCCTTTTTTTTTTTTTAAATATAGAAAATCAGATAGGAGTTTAAATGTCAATCAAAAATATTTTCAATACACAAATATCAACAAATATGAAGAAAGGAATTTTATTTCACTATTACAGGGTATCTGCAGAATTAAAAAAAATAAATTTAAGGCAATTTATGACCCATTTTAAGAGCTGCACAAGTAAAATGAACACACAGCATGAGTGGAGTTGGACAATGTCTGTGGTAACATACAGTACTGAGCCATAAAATTACATGATTTACATTTCAGATACAGGTTTTCACAAAAACAAATATCTTATACAACAGCATTTCTACCTTTAGACCATTTTTATGAAAAGGGATAAATCAAGCATATAAATGATGTCAATTTAAAACTTATTTGTCAAAATCTTAATTGTTTAGATTTTTAGAAGGCACATTAACTTCTTTCTCATTTACAACTCTATGTGTTTTCTGCGTAAAAACATGAGTTGATATTTGCATTGACCATAAACAGCAAGAAAGGCTTACAGGAAATGCAAATTCATTCTCTGCCACGAGGTGGCGCTTTAGGAGCACTGAAATATTGCGGTTTCCCCAGTAACGGCTGTACACAAAGCAGCTCAGCGCTCATAAACGCTGCTTTATCAGGAATTATAGGAAAGATAAAATTAAAATGCCAACGACACGTTTCTGAGGACAGTCGGTTCACTTCAGATACATTCAAATAAAGTCATCCACACCGCCTTTTGACTTGAAACGTGCAGCGCTCATATTTATTCAATGACATCGTTGCCTTTTGAAGTTTAATCCAGCCGTATCGCGACTCTTGTCTTTCCGTCCCCAACTGTAAGACCTCTTGAAATTATAATTATATTTCTTATACCATGTAACGTATTTAAAACTTTTTATGGCCTTAGGTTTGATACAACTCACTTTATGAGTTTTTAAGGACCCGCGGGAGATCTGTATAGCCCGTCGGGCAGAGTGGTGATACATTTTGGTAGCCCGACTGGAAAACACAATAGCCCCGGGATGTCGGGCTAGCGATTTTGCGAGCCCTGTCTATTAAAACAACAGCGATTGAGTAAGTGTATTTATTCAGCGATCACAATGGCAAACAATATAGTCGAGGTCTCATGACAGAACACTGACCGGCTGAATGACGCTTTCATTTAGATCGCTAAACTCCAGCTTGTTTGTTGGTGTTTTCAGATCATCGGCGGCGGCGCTTCCGCAATGTGCATGGTTACCAGATTGCTTAAAATAAGCAAAACACTGGGCAGAAAATGTATCCTTGTAACAGCAAAGCTCAGATTCGGGATTTTAACTCTTGATATCTGGCAACCGCACTCATATAAGCTCGCCTAGCAGAGGCGTGTAGAGCTGTGCGCAATAACATTTTGTCTCCTTTTTTTGACGAAAATAAAAAGAGGTTTTTGGTAAAGTTTTTATCGTTTTGAATACATTTTAGTCTCGTCTTATTGCGTCAACGAAATTGCATGTTGGTATAGTCTTAGTTATCGTTTATTGACCTTATTATCGTCGCGTCTTCGTCTTGTCTTAGTCATGGGAAAAAAAGCTTGTCGACGAACATTTTTCGTCATAGTCTTCGTTAACGAAATGAACACTACTAGCACCCACTCAGAACACCCTCGCAACCACATAACATGCTTAAACTCCGAGAATACCCTAGCGCACACTCAGAATACCCTAGCAACCACATAATGTACTGAAACACTCAGAATACCTTAGTAGCATTCACCCATAACCATCATCTGTATAACAACTTACTAAAAACTACTCAGAATACCTTAGCAACACCCTAGCACCCACTAAGAACACCCTGGCAACCACACAGAAGAACACAAAAACACTCAAACCACCCAGAACCTCCTAGCAACTGCACAGTAACACATTAAAAACTAAAAACACCTATGCAACCATCTAGCAGTGATCTAGCAACGGACCAAAAAAAAACACTTAGGCCATTATTTATTCATTTCGCACCCTAGCAACCATCCATGATTACACCCTATTTCCAAGATGTTTTTTTTCAAACAAATCTAGGTCTTTTGTCTTCTCTTTCCCTTTTCTCAACACTTTTCATCTCTCTATAGCAGAGGTGACAGAGAGCAGGTGGTTTGAGATGGACAGAGAGCGAGACAGATCAAAGACAAAAGACATCAGAAAAGAAACCTAAACATACAAACACAACCCATTCATTCAGGTTTACACACAGAAAATGATCAGAGAGCAAAGCTTCACATTCAACAGTTTCAAATGACTCATTTACATCAATAGCACTGATGATTTGTTCGTTTAAGACATTTAACGACTGAGCCCACATTTGACAGAGTTGACACCTCAAGGTGAAAAATAAGAAGAATGTCACAAACAACACTGATCTGTCAACTTTCCACACACCGCACTGAGACCAAGGTGTAGGTTGGCTTCGTTGCTATGGTTACAGAGGAAGATTTTGTTGCTGTTTGGCAGGGGAGGACAAGGACGCTGATCTGTGCTCTAGTCTCGGAGTCAAGTCTCATAAAGTCATAACAGAAGAGTTGCGTGGGAGCAGTTTCTTATCATGAACTCTAGAATGAATTGAGCTTGACATAAGTGGTGGAAACAGATTTGCGCAGTACTTCTAAACCATTTCACAACTGTATATTAAAGGTGAAGTGAGTCATTTCTGCACCACTAGTGTTACCAAATGGAACAGATTTCTAGAACACTCCCTTTGTTTGCCATTGGACATTAAAGTCAAAATTAAAAACTCTTAAGGATCATATATATACTGTATATATCAGTGTTGGGGGTAACGCATTACAAGTAACGCGAGTTACGTAATCAGATTATTTTTTTCAAGTAACTAGTAAAGTAACGCATTACTTTTTAATTTACAAGAGAATATCTGAGTTATTTTCAAATAAGTAACGCAAGTTACTTTTTTTTTTTCAATTCATTGATTGACAGCTCTCCTGTCCCCATGTTGAGAGAAATCAGAAGATGTTACTGTCGTTCTAAAATAAATATGAATATGCATTAATTCATCTCACTCACAAAAAAAAAAACTGATTCAGTATTCCTCAAAATGAATAAAAATAATGCAACTCAGAGTATGACGCAAACCTGCAATAATTAAATGTTAAACAACACAAATATATTTTATGTATTTAATCCCATTCTATTAACCAATGTCTTTGCTTCTGACCTTCGATGATCCAGTTCAACCGTACTAATAAGCACAAATTACTCTAGACAAACATTTGTGTCTTTTTTTTTATTGCTGAAGTGTGTTGAAATTTCTTCTTCTGCATTCTACTGTACGGACGTAAATGTACTTTCCCTTCAGCCTGAGGCTTATTCATTTCACTTTTGGTGTGTAAATGCTTTTATATTTGCCAAAAAATATAACTTTTCTATTTTACAAACAAACAAGCAAGCCCTGTCCAGATTTAAAAAGTAACGCAAAAGTAACGAAACGCATTACTTTCCATACAAAGTAACGTAATTAGTTACTTTTTTATGGAGTAACGCAATATTGTAATGCATTACTTTTAAAAGTAACTGTCCCCAACACTGGTGTGTATATATATATATAAAATTAAAATAAAAAATATTTTAATACAAAATGAAATACACAGGGACCTGGAACACTTTTGAGTGATGGAATTCAAAATACTTCATAAAAAAACAAAAACAAAAACTAATTCGCTAAAATAAAAAGGCCTTCCAGCTACAACGCTAATGTTGAAGTACGGTCTACACAGAGCACCGCTTCTTCAGTATTTTAAGACACACTCCGCGAGCTACATGTAGCTCACTGCTCCCAAATCCTCCTCAGACGCCCAGTGCTTTCCTCACATCATGAAAAGGCTTCTGTGGTCAGCGAGAGCGTCACAAAGAGGCGAGAAGTGCGCTCTATGCCTCTTCCCCTGTCTGTGCCAAATGTTCAAAGGCTCACGTCCGCTGCTGGTGCATGATAAAGCTTTCTCCTCACTCCGCTCCGACTACATGAGACAAAAGAGCTGCTGAATTAAAGGACTAGCTGAACCTGACGAAGAGAAATAGAGAGATTCTAAGGGAGAGGAATGAATGAAAAGGAGAAAAACAAGGATGCAACAACAAAAAAAGGAATAGAGCGGGAGAGAAAAAGGGAAGAGACCAGAGAAAAACAGGGTAGAGGAAGAAAGAGGAGAAAAGAGAGAGAGAAACATCCACTAATGAATGTCACATTGGCACACTTTGATCTTGTATTATTCAGATCTTACTTCCTGAAGAGGCACCTACATTTCAACCCATCACTGCTGACACGCACCTCAAAAGCGCCATGTCATCCTCCTTACCGCCAGTACTGTGAAACGAATCAAACTATTGTGACAAAATATACTTTTCTTTCTAAATGTTTCCCCTGAAATTCACATATAATGCTAATGAAGTTTTCTTGTAGTATCATTTAAATATAAAAAATGATGGTGCATAAATAAATAAATGGAGAAAATACCATATATATTATGGTAAAAAGTTATGGTGAAATGAAATATGAAAATGAATTATTATATTATTATAATAACTGGAAAACAAATGTCACAATGATGGTGCCAACCCAATCAATCAATAATAATAATAATAATAATGAATAATAATAATAGTTGTTGTTGTTGTTGTTGTTATTAACCCATAAAAGAAAGAAAATTGTAAGTGTATGTTAATTGGTACATTATATATTATGCAAGCAATATGCAAGCAAAATGCTAAGCAACCTTGACAAACAATGACAATGATGACACTCACAAGACAGGAAATCAGATGTCACCATTACATTGTGCCAAACCGAAGGCTTTAACACACACACACACACACACACACACACACACACAAAAAAAAGAGGGAGTGTCTATAAAAGTGTGTGTCTA